TCAGCCAACAAATTAGAAGCAGATACGCTTTTATATGTACAGAACTGGGCAAATAGCATCCTTCTTTCTATGCTAGACCTGATGCCCAACCTTTCACTTACACCCTCAACATCTGTGCTTAGACTTTTAACCTGCAAATGGGGCTGAAACCCTTCTTTTCTTGATTTATCTTATGAATATGGAGAACAACTTGGGCAGACCTTTCTGTTTGCTTCAAGCTAGAGACATGGTCAAGTCTGGTGACTTATCCTTGTTGTCTCCGATATATTGTTATCCATTCTGGTGGTAATATTCCTTGATTCAGTATGTGCCTTGATTTACATATTCTATCTATCTATCTAACCCATTTTAGACGTTAGGAGGAGATTGATACTCCTCGGTTAGGGACCATTAATACGGTTATTTATGTTTATATGAGGTTTGTTAATTCATCTGTGCTCTTAAACAGTGCAGTGTTTGGCCGGATGGTGGATCGTGATAAGCTGATTTTCCTTCTTCCTTCACATCACATTTGCTTGAAGTTTTGGTCAGGTACTAAAATTTTTTTGTTGCACATCCTTGGAAGTCTATAGTAATGCGATATTCTTTCGCAATTATTTGAAGATTTTCATTCTGGCTTTTCTTATTTGGCAGTCACCCTGCATACACTGCATTCGGATGGTTATAAAACATGTGATAAAACTGACTTTCATTCTAACTAGGAGAATTTTCTTAAAAAACACAAAAACAAAACAAGTTCAATAGCTAATAAGATATCTTTCGAGGATTTTTTTTTTTTTTTTTTTGGTTCTTAGTGCTTTGGTGGAACTAAAAATAGATATGAAGAACAAAAAATAATATTCTTAAAAATTATGAATACTCAAATTCAAGAGGCTTATGTTACAATGATGTGGATTATTTGAGTACACAATTTCTATAATATCTCCCTAATTATTATCTAGTTTTTAATGAAATTCTTGAATACGACAGATACAAAGCTTTTTTTTTATATTGGTTCAATGTCTCGACATTATTTTAGTTGGACATCTCTATCATTCTACTATATATATATAAACTAAGATTCATGTGCAACCATAAGTAGAAAATTACTAAACGAGACCCATAAATTTTTATTAAATAAGATATAATAGTTCGAAAAATATATCCGAATTAATTTTTTGATATATTTAATATAGAGGGTATGATTCGGAACATAAGATGTCAAACTTATCATTAAAAATATCAAAATTGAATTCGCAATTAGTAAAAATAAATTTGATTGGTTTATTAAAATAATTATATATATATTTCGTGCTTATAAAAACTGTTTGGGGGTTGAATTTAATGTACTGCATTAATACTTTTATTCTCTAAGTTCATAATTATGAGTTAGAAGATTATATTTTATTGTAAAAAAAAAAAACTTTTCACGAATGCAAAACTTTATAAAAATATATTTTATTATATACGTAGTGTATATATTTAAAATTATATCCGAATATATTATCGTCCCAAACAAACGTATATTCAATTCAAGGTATGTTATGATTTGTGAAAACTAAATAGATATAATAAATCATATTCAAAATCGATTGGCGGAGCTTTTTATTTTAATAAATAAATAAACCAGCATGCATGAGGGGTCCAAATTTTTTTGTTGCTGTCAATGAGTAAGGGAGACGACAGAAACTCTTCTAATGCCATGGTTAAAAGCTATAAATTTCTCTTGGTATGCAACATTAATTTTTAATGGACCATCTTAGGAATGATTGCATTGCTAGGAAGTTATTTTGAATTTGCTCTATTTATTAATTATCACCTTCGAGTGTAAATGGGCAAGAGAATTTTATTCATTGACTATACTTTTTTGTTGTTATTCTTTTAATTAAATTTTAAAATATAATACAAAATAAATTATTTTTAATTAATTTTCAAAGTGTGATACTTCTTACAAATTGAATTTTATTTTTTATTTTTTGGTTATAATTTAGTTTCTAATATTTTATTTGTTTTGTTTTTTGTTTATTTTTTAACCAAAAAAAAAAAGAGATACCTATACTAAACTTGAACGAGTTTAAAAATAATTTAAAAAATTAATTTTGATTAATTAATTAAATTATAAGTCTAAATGTATTTATTTAATTAATTAGTTAAACTAATTTTTTAATTCAGAAATTAAAGAAAATGGTATGTTTAAAATAAATAAAAAAATATCGAGTGAATTAAATTACAATAAATACTAAATTTTAAATATCAATTTAATAATTTTTTATAAAATATGTAAACTTATAATTTATTTATTGAAGAAATTGATCAGCTTAACGAAGTCGATTAGTAATAAAAATTTAAAATTTTAAAATAATCATATTATAATTTATTGTTTATTATCTCCACCGTCCTATTGTAGCTCCACCATTACACTTATTAAAAAACAAAAAAAGACAAATTATTTTTCTAGATAAGGGAATTCTTCTTACATAAATTCAATAAAAATTCTAACAACTAAGCCCAAAGTTTTGGTAACTACCTAACAATTCCATATTTTTTCATCATTTTACCAAATTATTTCATATGTATTTAAATTTGAATTATTATTTTTTTTGTTTTTCTTACATTCCTATCTAAAATAATATTTTAAGTTAAAAATAAATAATAATTTATTCCGAATAATTTTCTCACCCGAAAATTCAAATTTGTTTATGATTTTACTCGAATAAATAATGACAATATGTTATTTTTTTTGAATTTATCTTCTTCTCTATTATTTTACATCAGTAATTTTTTTTCTCTTATATATTCACCAAAAATCATATAGTTCTACAAAAGAATTTACCTCTTATAAAATTACAAAAAATCGTGTCTTTTTATAAATAATGTTGTTGACGTATCTAATTTTATACAATAAAAATATTAAAAAAATAATATTTCAATAAAATTA